AATTAATCAGTTAATTTATCAGTCTGAGCATAGTCATTAGTAATTGTTTATATTATATTTCAGTTTAATCAGGACACGAGCATCAGCACTACCTGCATTTTCAGCAGTTCAGGTGGGGACTCAGACTAAGTACTACATTGATTATAATTCTGGTACCATGTTTGAGGTATGTATTTCATGTCATGTTTCCGCTCAGAATGGTCGCCGGTCCATTCTGGGTTCTAGTGGCCTTAGTCTGTCCACTACAGTGTGCACATGGTGTCCGACATTTTTATGCTGGCAGATGAGGTAACGGTCATGGTTCACGTTCACGTGATGATATCAGGTTCATGTTCATGTTATTACCGGTTTCATGTTCAGGTTATGAATATATATACCAGGATCATGATATTGTTATTATATTCACTGTTTACTTTAGTATGAGTTTCCACGGAGCATAGTGTTATAGTGCTTACGACCCACTTTTATCAAGTTTTTTAGGTCAGGATGTCGGGCCGGAGGTGTGAGATGACGGACGATTCAGGACTCTTATGCTTATGGCTGTATATATTTTGATGATGCTTCGTTTCCACTGATTTTGATGTTTTGACGAACTTATCTTTTGATCAGACTTTCAGATAAATCAATACTTTCAGTAAACCGTAGATTTTGTTAATGATTAAAATAACAGTTTCTCCAAATAAGTCACGTTTACGGTAGCACCCCGAATCAGTTTTCGCAAATTAAAAAGTTTTTTTTAAAAGACTTGCGAAATTACGCACTCTGATTTCACGATAAGGCGGGGTGTTACAATTGGTATCAGAGCACGTTTCTGCGTCTCTAAAAAGTTTTATAAGTCAGAAATTTTTAGAAAAACCTGAACCGTCACGCTCACGCCTGGCCGATTACAGGTAAGTGCTGATTTATGTTTTCAGTTATAAACATATAACTTTGTCTATGCTCAGAAATTATTAATCATGATTTAGTTAAGATGCTCGAATCAGGATCAGACTTTAGAACTCAGTGTACTCAGATATAACTCTAGACGTTTTCAGGATCTATTTTCTGGCCATTTTTGGCAACTCGTCAAGAGATCTATGTACTTTAGAAATCAGTCAGAATATTCTTCATGTATTCAATAAATTGAACTTTTTCAATGTTCAGATGCCACCCCGTAGGGAACCCGATCACCCGGTTCCTCCCCAGGCTACGGTGGTCGCACAGTTTCTCGACTATCACCCTGAGAAATTCTCCGGGCAGGGAGACCCCCGTATCGTGGACGAGTGGATTCATGTCCTTGAGTTGATCTTCGAGGTCATGGATTGTCCAGACAGATATCGCGTAATCTGCGCTCAGCTTCAGCTAACTGGTGATGCCCGGCTCTGGTGGAATGCCTACTGGAGCATGCGTCCTGGCGAGAAGGCGGGATATACATGGGATAGGCTCAAGGAGCTGATCCGCGAGAAGTACTTCCCCACCTACTACAGAGCAGAGATGGAGCGTCAGTTTCTGTCGCTCAAACAGGGTACTCGATCCGTCGATGAGTACGAGAGAGAGTTTACTAGACTTGCAGCTTTTGTTCTGGACCTGGTTCGCACGGAGGCACAGAGGGCACAGCGCTTCATTGACGGGCTTTACCCAGCAGTCTGTCACAACATTGTAGGTCGCGGGACTCAGACGTATGCTCGTGCTGTTTCGATTGCCCAGGAGGTGGACGCCAGCATCAGAAGGGAGCCCGTCCATGATCGTTTTCAGCCATCCGCCCCTGCTCAGTCATCCACAGCTCCACCGATGCCACCAGCCACTGCCCAGCCGACGAAGGAGAAGAAGAGAAAGGGGAAGGGTGCTCAGACCGACAGGAGGAC